GGGGGTACATATATAGCAGTTAATTAATAGCAATATTATTTATGGCGATGGTTAGCATTTATGTAGACGAAATAGCAAGTAATTCTTTAAAGCGTTAGTGAGTCCTCGTCGAATAGAGTAGTATCGTAATTAAGCCAATTCCTGTCTTCTTGTCTAATTTTAATTAAATCCTTGGCCATGCTATTGTCTTTTCGTACTAATGCATGTAAACCAGCAATTGAGCCTTCATTTTTCAAAGTTAATTTGCTGTTTGTTTTATACGCGCGTGCGTGTGTGTGTGTGTGGATTGGATTTCTACTTTATTGTGTCATTTGGAAACCCTCCTCATTGTTAATTTATTCGTAGTACTAGGCAGTCCTTGTTTTCCTAGTGCATTTTTACGCATTTCCAGGTGCATTTGTGACTTTCGATTACCGTCCAGTTTTTTTCTTGTAATTACCTCAATTTCCTTCTTATTGTGATCTGAAACCCGATATTCCAGTTACAAGAATAAGGGATTATCAAATTTCCCCTAATACTCACATAAACTCCGAAAGGTTCTTTACAAAACTTGCACACTACACATAAATGTTGATTTGCTCGTGTAAAAAAATTCAAGAGCTTAACATTGTGTCAATAAAAAAAGATGCTATTTAATTTGGTAACTCTTCCATATGTGCTCCTTATACTCTTTTCTTATTGTTTTTTTTTACTGTTTGTTACTTGTCTCAAAATATAGTCTTATTTCTATCAATTCGGACGGACACAGGCTATGGGGCAAAGGTAATAATGATGCTTTACCGGGGTTGAGCAGTTTCAGTAATTGTGTATTTGCAAAGAGCACAGTTCTACAGAACTTGGCCCCTTGGGAACGAATATTAGGGCTAGTGATTGAGTTAATTTCAATCCAATTATTTATTGTAGGCTATTTACCTTCAATGCGTCTGCATTTGTCGAGCAGTCAAAAGTGAGCTGCAGTTTAAGTAATGACGAAGCTACCTAGGCTATATTTTTTGTCGTAATTTATTGGGAGGTGCTCACAAAGAGATCACATTTTACCTTGTCAATTTAAGTTTTTTGGACTGGTAAAATAGATACTTTTGATGACAGGGGCCGGAGGGGAGGGGTGGGGGGGGGGGGTAACTCAATCATGTTTTTATCGTATGCCACATTGTATCGTTCGTATTTCTTTTCCAACATTCCTCTGCGGTTCACTTTGAAGATTTTGATGATGAAACCACTTGTTCTCCCCTTTCTAATGACTAGCACTAATCGTAGTTTTTAGCCACTCCAACCACTTAATCTGTAATATATATGCACACACAATTTTTCTGTTTTACAGGTGAGCGGCCATTCCCTTGTCGATTTTGTCCAAAAGCCTTTCCACAGAAGGACCACCTTCGCGCCCATATCCGGACTCACACTGGAGAGAAACCCTACCGGTGCCCTCAGTGTGCCAAGGCGTTTGCTCAATTGGGTAATCTCCATCGTCATGTCAAGACACATCGTCAGTAGTAGTGCCATTGTCGCCTCCACTCTGTGTCTTCCTCCTCTTCATTCCTCTTTTGTAAGTCAGTTGGGGGTAAAAGATGCTCTCAAGGTTGCACAGTGGAGCTTTAGTAATTTAATGGGATGCCAGATTTGGTAGAATAAAACGATGTTTGAAGGAATTATTACCAATGTGGTGACTCTTTGCCCTGTCCTGAACATCTCTTCGTTGAATACACACAAAACTAGACGACCGTCTAAGCAGTGGGACTGTATCACAAATTGAATCTGTCTTTCGTTTCTATGTCTTACATGGGGGGATTATCGTCGTATCTCGTAAACGCGGAGTCCAAAATGGAGCTTACTTTCATTCAATATAGGCCTTCTATCCAGATTGCCGATAGCTATTGTGATAGCGTTGATGTTTTTTTGCATTTTTTTTATGTTTTAAAACCTTTTTTTTGCTGGTTAGCAAGTAATAAAAAATTATCTTCTAGCACCACCTTTGCCAAATCAGAATGTCGAAGGTTGAGGCTAGAACGAGGTACTTTGTAATGCGCTGATGGTACCTAGAGGAAGGAAATTGAATTTTATTGGAAAATAAGGTATTAAAAGAAATAAATGATTGAAATTGGCCTCATCCTCTCAAATGTATCTTGCTATTGATGGCAGCGTGCACATTCGTCTGAATTGTAACCCCCCCCCCCCCCCTACTCAATACATCTTATGAGATCAGCCTGTGTTTTGGAACAGAGTGTGCACTCAACAGCATTGAGTCATGCTGCACTTTACTTTCTTAACTGAAATTTCGCATTTAGGGTATATTCATTACAAGAATTCAACATTGCTATTCGAATTGAAGTGAAATAAAATGATCGAGTTTAGTTAACTAATGTTAGATATGAACTTCTGTTTTCCATGCACTTGACATTAACAATTTTTGAATTACAGTACGATATGTAATGAAACTTGGAGCCTATTGAAATGTTCTAGAAACTTTCATTCCCTAATATTTATTTATTTATATCAAATGGCAGGCGTTTTAATAATTACCATTAGCCCTTTAGTTGACTTCAGGCTTCACAGAGAGGAACAAGTCGAGAAGGTTGGGGGGACAGAAGAGGGTTCCAAAAGTGTAAAAGAGGCAGACACAGGTATAAAAAGGTGAGGTGAGTACTGTTGAAGTAGTCGAATATGGCATACAGTGTGGTCATGGTAGTTTGAAGTCAGAAGTCAAGTGCCAGTTAATAGACTTGTTCGTCGTATGAAGATACGTTGCCCAGGGTGCACCACGTGGAGGTAAGTCTATCGCACACCTCTCATTCACTAATATACTTTAAGTGTGTCGAAGCGTATTTATGTAGGTCTTTTTTTTAAGATTGGTAGTGGAATGGTGATGTGTTGAATGCAATTGTATCCAGTCTAGACTCAATTCTCGAAGAAGTCGAAGCCTTTATTTGGCAGAGGTACAGTTGAATGCACCAATGTTCCGTCTGCCTCCTATTATGAATTATTTGTCCTTTTGTCTTCAGTAGATTTTCGTAATTTTTTTCTCTATCAAGAAATATATTTTATTATTATTCTATATGTCCATGGCACACATGCCTCTTGTGTATCTTCTTCTGGTGTGCAAACATACTCAACTTCTTTTTTATATGGGAACGTTTCCCTACTACTCAGCTAATTTAGAATCCGCACTTACAGGACTTGTCATATTCTCATAAATTATGGATTTACACCCATATTATTGCTATTAATTACCCAGTGTAACGCAAAAAGAATAATAGTTTTAAATTGTGGTACGTAATAGGCGTCGGTTGACAGAAAGTGCAGCAAATGTTGCAGAGGAGTGATCAGCATTATGCTCCTTAGGGGGGTGGGGGGGGGGGGGGGG